CTTGGTGTTGTACATTGACGATATCTTACTCATTGGGAATGATGTGAGATTTCTAACTGACATTAAGCATTAGCTAGCGACACAATTCCAAATGAAAGATTTGGGAGAGGCTCAGTTTGTTCTTGGAATCCAAATTGTTCGGAATCACAAGAACAAAACACTAGCATTGTCTCAGGCATCGTACATCAACAAAATGTTGATTCGATATAAGATACAGGACTCCAAGAAAGGATTATTACCTTTCAGGCACAGAGTTCATTTGTCGAATGAATAAAGTCCTAAGGCACCTCAAGAAGTTGAGGATATGAGACATTCGCTATGCATCAGCAGTCGGTAGTCTGATGTATGCCATACTATGTACCCGAATTATAGAGGTCATGCTAATGCAAACACATGCCATCATGAATTATGGGCCTATCTCTAATCATCTTAAGGGTGGCCTCCAGTCTCGGGCAAATTTGATGTGTAGTACTTCCCTACACACGACTCACACGTGCGAGTGTGAATCTCCAGGGGTCTCACACACCCCCTGGACCCTTTGGTCAAGCTAATTTATATCGACGTTCGGAGGTCAGCGAACCCCATAGTATCTTGCACCTCATGAACACCCTCATCTGTGCGCATTTGCACTCATCATACGGTGCGTGTCCGCACTCATCATCTCTAAGGGAAGTAGCCCTATGTTTATGAACATACAATATGCATGAGGTCCCTCTAAGTCCAATTATACATCTCTTATGACACAACCCTCTAGTCTCATCTCTTGGTTACACTATGTAACACGTGCTCATGGATATTTACATTAATATCATTTTCATACTCTTAGGGTTGTGTCCTATGTCGATCTAACGACATGATGCAATATGGCAAACAAAATCATAAGGAATGTTCAACATGGAAAACATCATCATGCATACATCATACTCATCATAAAAGCCACTCAGTGCATCAGATATAACATGTATGTCATGCATCGAAACATAAATAACGTACATGCATCACAATACAACGTCATACTCATACATCATCATAATTCAAACAATCTTTAGCCTATCCTATAGTAACGCCACTTACTTGGTTGGCCTTAGCTGGAGTACTCCCTAATTTAATTAACGAAACTCTTGTTCCTCGTGAGCTACTCCAAATGTTGCCAGGGTTCTTTTCTTATCACACCATTTGTCATCTTTTGTTAGTATTTCACATTTTAATTAATAATCCAACTAACAATGTGAAATACGACTCTAAAACGACCTCAGTAAAAATCGAATTCTATGTTTTCATTGTTTCTAATGAAAATTAAATTAGAAGTATATCAATATCGTTAATATTTTATGCGGTTTGCATCATTCAATCCAAATATGTTTTGTTATAATATTATACTCAATAGGTACAAATTATAATAATTTCTATCTCTTCCATTTTTCTACTCTCTATCTCTTCCATTTTCCTACTCTCATTCGGTTTATCTCCAGTTATATTTTGGTTCAGTTTATAAATCGCTCACCAGTTTAATTTATTCTAATTTTCTTTTGAATTAATCATCATTTATTTCTTTTTACTTCTGTTTACCGTAATTGCCATATCTGATTTCCTTCTTAAAATGTTTATGCAATTAACCGAAGTTATTTTCAATATTCTAATTTTCTTTTCTTTTTCTCTCCTAAAATCTTCCTCTCTTTCGTTCTTTTTCTTTCTTTTAATTCTAATTTTTTTTATAAATCTATTCACAGATTTCTTTTTCTTTCCCTCTTTTGATTATGTTTCCAAATCTTGGGATTTTTTTTATTTGATCTTTCTATCTCTTGTCAATTTTTTTATTATTATTATAATTATTATATCACCGGTTGGGCATTACACAGGAGTTTGGTTACTACCCTTTTGCAGTTTAAATTCATTTTTCCTCACGAACCGGTTTCGAACCACCACGAGTGTCTTCCCTACTATTCTCCAGTCTTAGAACAAGATTGTGGAATTCGGTGAGTGACTAAACTTGGAAGGGATTTAGTATGTATGAAAAGAGAGTTAGGAGGGTTTTTCTCAAAGTTTTTCCGAGATGACTTTCCATGTACCTTGAACACTCCATTTATAGAGTCATATTTGCTCATGCAAATTTGTGATTACCAAATTTTGACACTCAAAATTCCACTCAAATGTATGGGATTATGTGGCAAGCATGCAAGTTTGAGTTAAACAAATTTTGACACTCAAAATTCCACTCAAATTTGTGGGGTTTATTTGGCAAGCATGAAAGTTTGGTTAAACAAAATTTTGACACTCAAAATTCTACTCACTCAAACATAGATTTTTTCACTAAGTGTCAACATCTTGACTTTCTCCATTTTAATTCAACAAATAATTTTAATTAAAGTAATATTAAATGATTAATTAAAAATAATTTAATTAATATTTAACATTAATTCAAATGTCAATCCCTATCAATTCCGACACATATTGATTAAAATATTTAAATCTTATTTAAATATCTTCGATTCTCACTTTTTGTTTAATTCGTAAATAAAACAAAAATGTAGTTAAATATATCGTATATATTTAGCGCATATTCCCTAATTGAATTCAAATACTTCCAACTTACTCGTCACACTATTCTATGGTTTAGTCCGATATGAGATAGCAGGGGAACCTAATGGACCTATAGATCATGAGCTCCAATGATCCGAGATTAACCGGCTAAACTCATTAAACTTGTCAACCAACATTCGTTAACTACTAGGACACTCCACTATATCCTAGTAGTTGCACTCCCCTCACTATAGCTATATTTCTGTCAATTTGATATAACCATGTAAGTAAGTCGATCCTTTACAGGTTGTTCGTAACCAGAGCTGGGTCAATTTATCGTTTTACCCCTGAAGTTACTTCTTATTCCTTATGTCCCACTAATCCTTTAATGAACAATTGGTTTGTGGTTCAACTAGTAAACCGAATCCCTCTCTTCTATCCCTAAAAGTGGGTAGGAGCGAATTCTATCTTGCACCCCACGTCCCTAGCCATTCACCCAATCTTACCCCTGTAATGGGAGACAGCCACTCTCACCCATGCAAATCTAAGGATAATTCCGAATAAACAGGAGTTCATAGTTAATTCAGGATTAAGATCGAGTTACATAGGTCATCGAATGAAAAAAAAAATTAGTCTTAACAGTAAAGGACATTATAAAGTGAGTTATTTTCTTTATGGTCCGATCTTATGCAATACTCATTGCATAGGACGCCCCCACTCACATATCTCCGCATGTACAATTTAGTGATCACATTGTTTATATCATATACAAAAGTGGGTCGCATCCATAGTGTCTCCAGGATAAGGTACTCAGCCTTATCCCTATACTATAGATCATTTTGACTATATATTTGAACTTGATCCACTCTTATGTCTCTACATATAGTTCAAGTAATCAGACTATAGTCAGAGTGTTCTTAGTTTATTAGATTTAGATTAATAATTGTAAAATTCACTTTATTCAATAACAATCTTTACTGAATAAACATCAATAATAACTTTATTGAAAATAGAATATGTTTTTGTTTACAAACTATGAGTTTTAGAACATAAAACCCAACAAGATCCTCAATGCCATCATCAGGTATGATGACTTGTGTTTCTGCAAAAATCCAAGTAACGATTGGGTTGAGTAATAACTCTCCCACTACGTCGAGGCATTCTCAACACTTGAGAAGGATGTGATTGACCAGAAGTGTCAGCTCCATCAACAACTCTTGTTGAAGAACCAGCCTGATCAACAACTCTTGTTGTTTTATCAGTAGCTTCTTTAGAAATCTCACTTAATACTAGTTTGCTTCAAGGTTGATGATTTCTTACGTGATCTTCCTCAAAGAATGTAGCATTTGTTGATACAAACACTTTGTTTTCTTGAGGGGTCATAAAACAAACTACCTTTCGTCTCTTTGGGGTATCCTACGAATAAGCATAATTTTGAGAGACGTTCTAATTTCTTGGGGTTCTGCAACAACATATGTGCTGGGCATTCCCAAATTCTAAAGTGAAGTAAACTACCTTTACGCCCTCTCCATAACTCATAAGGTGTTTCTGAAACACTCTTAGAAGAAACCATGTTCAAAATGTATGCATCAGTCTCTACTACATATCCCCAAAACGAATCAGGTAATTGAGCGAAACTCATCATAGACCGAACCATGTCTAACAAAGTTCTAATTCTCCTTTTTTATACATCGTTCTGTTGAGGTATACCAGAGGCTTAGAGTTGAGACGTTATTCCATGTTCTATCATATAGTCCTAGAATCTTAAGTCCATATACTCTTCACCTCGATCTGATCGAAGTGTTTTAATAGTTTTTTCTAATAGATTCTCAACCTCAGTCTTATGCTCTCTGAACTTTTCAAGCGATTTCGAACTTGTGATGCATTAGGTAAGGATAGTCATACGTTAAATAATCATCAATAAAATTGATGAAATATTCATAGCCTTCTCGTGCTTTGACATTCATTAGACCACAGATATCTGTATGCACAAGTTCTAAGGTTTCTTTAGCTCTATAACCTTTTTTGGAAAAAGATCGTTTAGTCATTTTACCCTCAAGACAGGACTCACAAAGAGGTAAAGAGTTGTCTTATAACTCATTTAGAAGTCCTTTTTTACCTAATCTCTCGATCCTATTGAGATTAATTTGGTCTAGCCTCAAGTGCCAAATATAGGTATTAGGAGAAATCTTTTGTCGTTTATTTTGAATTTCATCTATTTTAAACATCTCGGTATTTAAAATAGTTTTTATTTCGCTCGGTTTTAACATATATAAGAGGTATAGAGCCATTTAGGTGGTAATAAATGAGGAGAGAGAAAGGCTAGCTACACTACTCTTTTAGGGTAAAAAAAAAAGATAAAAAAAATAAAAACCGCGGAGAGGAAAAGAGTAAAGAAGAAAGAAAAAAAAAAGAAAAGGAGAAGAAAGACAGCAAAGAGGAAAGGAGAAAAGAAGAAAGAAAAAAAGAAAGAAAAAAAAGAAAGAAGAAGAAGATAGAGGAGAGGGTGGAGCGGGGGAGATGAACGACGGAGCTTGAAGCGCTCGTCAACAACGTTAGGGCTGAATGGTTGAGGAAGGGAGAACACCGACGGTAAGCCCTAGTGGTGTGATTTTCGTTGTTCCTTTCCAAAATCCTAATACATTTCACTCGATCAATGTACCTAGGTTATTGTCGAGGGAAGTTGGTGAGTCCTTGTGAAGAAGAAGACATGGGGTGCTAAGAGGAAAGAAAGATCAAGAAGAAGGTGGGAAGAAGAGGCCGAAAACTGAGGGGGCACAGCCTGACCCGACCCGACCCACCTGTACAGAACTGAAACCTGATTTTTTTCCCATTTCACACCATTTGATTAGTCTTTATTCAGATTTAGGTACTTGACTCACACATTCCATAATGTCTTATTATAGGAAAGTTCCAATTAGCTTAGTCAAGGGGACACTTGAAGACTCGATAAAGTTTTGGAAAGTCTACGATCAGGTAAGTAACCATTTAGAGCAAGTTTTTAAGTAATTGCTTGTAGGAGTCGATTTGGATTTGTGGCCAAATAATTTAGTACCGTATTTAGGAATGGATAAAGTTAGTTCATGGAGGTGGTACTTCAATAATGTGTGTGGTTGTACTTTGATTGTCGTTATGGTTATATAGTTTCGTTGACATGAATGTGAAATTTCTTATAGGCGTTTGGGATGATATGTTTTTATGTTGAGCTAAATGGTTTTACCTGATTTAACATGGTGACGTGTTGTTGTCGTGGTTCTTTGTTAGGCATTGGGTGTGGGGCTTGGGTAGCCCATTGTTACTCTTTGTGAGTTGGTTCATTTATTAGGTGCTAGTTATCATAAGTTATGAAGCACATAGATGACAGTGTACCGTTTCGTAGACACCCACAAGGGGTTGAGGGTAATCATAGTATATTACTGTGGTAACACGTCAGAAGTGTTTAGTGGGACGAGCCATGGCCTTTTTACTGATCCATCCGAGCGACATAGTGACAGGTAGTTACTGTTCCTAAGACAAGTAGGTTTACTGATCTGAGCTGACAAGGGCGTAAGACAAGTAGTGACTGACTCGACCTAGCGAGGCACAGTGGCAGGTAGTTACAAATCTTAGTAACAATTAGATGTTGTTAGGTACCACTAGGTCTCTAACTAGCGACTATTCGAGCACAAAACTTCAGATTCCATGAATAGGGCTAAATTCGACAAGAGTTTACGAGCAGGTTGCTTACTAAGTATTGTTTATATACTCATTTGTGTTGTTTCTATTTTTCAGGAGAAAAGTAGATCTGGGTCGATGGTGGGGACGTGTGGTCGTGGAGCTGCAGAAGGGGGCCCTTAGTTTGAGTCCTCTTCTCCCATGTCGTTTTGGTTATGATTTTGACGTTTTTTGAAAACCTGCAATATTTTGTAACCGTTACTTTTTATGTGACTCCGCGGATTCTCGTTATGTGTTTTGTAGTATTTTTTTGAAATGTATATCAAGCAACTTTTAACTTTTAGTCCCCTATTCAAACGACAAGTAGTATCGAAAGGTTTTTTTTACTCTTGAGTCCATGTGGCGACCCATGATTCGACCTTTTTGAAGATCGGTCGTTAAAGTTTTGGTATCAGAGCCCCAGGTTGTTAGGTCATGTAGACCTTCCTTAACTAGAGTGTCAGTTGGGCCGTCTGCAGCTCGGCTCGTAGCCACGTTCCTCCTTGACTAGGTAACCCAGGGAAGTAAGTTACAAGCGGTAGTAATAGTGTAGTCGTATTATAGTTTAACTTTTCATGATGTGACGTGAATCCATAGACCATTTATGGTTAAGGTTTGGATTGGACATCTAGTAACCTACTTGTTGTAGAATGTAGATACTATGACAACCAGGATTAGGAGAGCCACTAGGGCTCTAGAGGAGTCTGAACCTGCTCAAGATTCAGCCCTGGAACAGGCACTTGAGAGCATGCAAGCGCTGCCAGCACAAACACAGGGGCAAACAAGAGCCCTACCTTCAAATCTAGTATTTGTCTCTAACGAGATTCTCCAGGCGCTTATACGGGTCGCTAGGGCCAACCAAGGGGGGGATAGTGCTGGCATGACAAGAGAATAGAAATTCATTAGAGATTTTCGAAAGCATGACCCTCCGACCTTTGAAGGAGAGGAAAGTGATCTAATGGCAGCGAAAACATGGGCAGAAGCGATTGAGACCCTATTCGGGCATATGAATTGCCATGAGGATTAGAAAGTGAATTGTGCCTCTTACATGCTCAGGGGTGAAGTCCACTTTTGGTGGAAGAGTGCTCAAAGAATGTTGAGGAGTGGAATCGAGGGTGAAGAACCAATATGTTGGCATGAAATGAAGAGGGCGCTTTTCCACATGAAATAAGACGGTCGAGGAGTACGATAGGGAACTGACCCGATTGTCCTGATTTGCATCAGATCAGGTTGATACGGAGAAAAAACGAATACGAAGATTTATTGCAGGTCTTTGAGGGGAAATCCAAGAAACGGTGGGGGCAGTAGCACCTACTACATATGTTGTCGCCTTAAATGTTGCTACCATGATGGACGTTCAACTTCAAAAGATGCTTAGGAGGATTGGAAATCAGAGGAATCTCCTAAGTAAGGAGAATGGAGCGAGCATCCTGACAGGGTGTCACGACCCAAGAACAGGGGAAGATCACATAGGTCACCTCCAGCCGAGAGGCAATGGGGCGTTTGAATTGAGGCCCCTAGATTTAAGAGGCCCACTTGTCCCATATGCGACACTAGACATATAGGGGAGTGTAGGGCAGGTTCTAATGCATGTTTTCATTGCATTAAGAGCGACCATAAGAAAGTTGATTGCCCTCGTAAGAGGCATTAAGAGGAGAATAGAGCATCAGGGTCAGGCCAAGGAGGCAGTGGGGCACAGCGTAGAACCGTGGTACTGCTAGGGCAACTACTGGGAAAGGAGCAAAAACATGGACACTGTGGTGACAAGTACCTTACAAGTACTTGGCTTTCATGTTTTCTATTGTTTGACTCTGGGTCCACACACTCGTTCACATCTAGTACCCCAAGGAAGTTAGTTGGTCGAGGAGCTTGGCCTGGTTGGCGAGCGTATTAGACATGCGGTGGGGTACTAGCAGTGTGATGAATGTGCCTGTCGTACGGGAGTTCAAGGATGTGTTTCCAGAAGAGCTGTGGGGGTTACCGCTAGTCAGGGACAGGGACTTTGCAATTGAGATAGAGCCAGGTACCACCCCAATATCCAAAGCACTATACAAGATTGCTCCTGTCGAGTTGAAAGAACTTAAAGAGAAGTTGCAAAATCTATTGGATCGAGGTTTTATCAGAGCAAGTGTGTCACCATGGGGGGCCTCGATACTGTTTGTCAAGAAGAAAGATGAGACCTTGAGATTGTGCATTGATTACAGAGCATTAAATAAAGTAACAATAAAAAACAAATACCCATTGCCTCGCATTAATGATCTGTTTGACCAACTACAAGGTGCATCAGTATTTTCGAAGATTGACCTGTGATCAGGGTACCACCAGTTGAGGATCAAAGAAGGCGATATCCCCAAGACGACTTTCAGAAGTCGATATGGTCATTATGAGTTCACTATGATGTCTTTTGGCTTGATGAACGCCCCAGTAGCGTCCATGGACCTTATGAATAGGGTGTTTAAAGACATCCTGGATACGTTTGTCGTAGTATTCATTGATGACATATTAGTATACTCCAAGACCGACGGGGAGCACGAAGCGCATTTACGTCAAGTACTGTCAAGGCTAAGGGCACATCGAATTTATGCCAAGTTTTTCAAGTGTGAATTCTAGTTACAAGAAGTGACCTTCTTGGGGCATGTTGTGTCCGAAAAGGGCATATCAGTGGATCCAACCAAAGTCGAGGCAATTATAGATTGGCCCTGACCTACCTCAGCAACCGAAGTGAGGAGCTTCTTAGGTCTAGCTGGATACCATAGAAGTTTTATTCAGGATTCCTCCAAAATAGCCGCCAGTCTCACACAAATAACGAGGAAAGGAAAGACGTTCTTGTGGGATATTGCATGTGAGCAAAGTTTCAAGGAATTCAAGCACCGGCTGATTATAGCGCTGGTATTTGCAGTACTAGATAGCTCAGGCAATTTTGTGGTCTATAGTGATGTGTCAAGGAAAGGTCTAGATTGTGTCCTGATCTAGAATGGCAAAGTCATAGCTTATGCTTTGAGACAATTAAAGGATTACAAGAGAAACTACTCGACGCGTGACTTGGAGTTAGCTGCCGTAGTGTTTTCTTTGAAGATATGGCGAGCGTATACAAATTTTCACCAATCACAAGCCTGAAATATTTATTCACTCAAAAGGAATTCAACATGAGACAAAGGCGCTGGTTGGAGTTAGTCAAGGACTATAACCTTGAAATAATGTATCACCCAGGTAAAGTTAACGTCGAAGTTGACGCTCTGAGTAGGAAGACCGCTTACAAGGGAGTATACATTGCAGGAGGATATGGCGAAAGCTGGAATAGAAGTAGTGGCAAGAGGCACAATAGGAAGATTGAGTCAACTTAGGGTCCAACCAGATCTGAGGCAGCAAATCATAAATGCTCAGAGCAACGACCCTCGCTTGTACTTGATTTTCCAACAGGCTGACGCAGAGAAGGAGGAAGGATTTACCATGTCTTCCGAAGGAGGATTACTATGGTAGGGGCGACTATGTGTCCCCGCAGATGAACGGATCAAAGAAGACTTCCTAACTGAAGCACATGAATCTCTGTATTCAATACACCTTGGTAGTACCAAGATGTATCATGACCTGAAGAAGTGTTATTGGTGGCCAGGGATGAAGCGTGATGTTGCCCTTAAAGTTAGTAGGTGTCTCACTTGTCAACAGGTGAAGGCCCGAAGACAGAGACCCTCAGGCTTACTACAACACCTAGACATTCCACCGTGGAAGTGGGAGGATATAGCCATGGACTTCGTAATCGGATTACCCAAGACCTCGAAGGGATACACAATTACTTGGGTGATTATTGATAGACTAACCAAATCCACCCACTTCATCCCCGGTAAGGCTACTTACACAGGGGATAAATGGGCGAAGTTATATTTGGAACAAATTGTCAGATTGCATAGGATTTCGGTCTCCATTGTGTGAAATAGAGATTCACGTTTTACCTCCCACTTTTGGAAAAGTTTGCAAAAAGCAATGGGGACCCAACTCAGATTCAGTACAGCGTTCCACCCCCAGACTAACGGCCAAACCGAAAGGCTGAATCATATCCTAGAAGACATGTTGCGAACATGCGTGATTGACTTCGCCTGTGGTTAGGACGAATACCTGCACCTTATAGAATTTGCATATAATAATAGTTACCAGGCGACCATACAGATGGCACCTTTTGAGACCCTGTATGGGCGAAGGTGTCGGTCTCCAATTTTCTGGGAAGAAGTGGGAAGGCGACAACTGTTAGGGCCAGAGTTAGTCCAACAAACAAATGCAGCAGTGCAAAAGATCAGAGTACAAATTTAAACTACACAAAGCCGACAAAAGAGTTATACAGACACACGACGCAAGGCTCTAGAATTTACCGCTAGCGACAATGTCTTCCTAAAAGTACCACCCATGAGGGGGATGATGAGGTTCAGAAAGAAGGGAAAATTGAGCCCAAGCTTTATCGGTCCTTTCGACGTCCTAGAGAGAGTTGGTCCTGTGGCGTACCGACTAGCCTTGCCTCCTATTCTAGTTGTTGTTCACAACGTGTTCCACGTGTCTATGTTGCGTAAGTACACCTCAGATCCTTCTCATGTGATTAAGTATGCAAATCTTCCTTTGAGGTAGGACTTAAGTTATGAGGAGGAGCCCATCAGGATTGTAAACACGAAAATACATAAGCTTAGAAAACAAGGAGATATCGCTTGTCAAGGTGGTATGGAATAACCATCGTATTGAGGAAGCAACCTGCGAGTTAGAGAGCGACATGAGGGTCAAGTACCCCGTGTTGTTCTAGGATTAAGAAACTTTCGAGAACGAAATTTCTTAAAGGGGGAAGATTGCAAGAGCCTTGCAATAAGTGAGGAGAGAGAGAGGCAGTTGTACTACTCTTTTAAGGTTAAAAAAAACACGGGAGAAAAGAAGAAAGAAAAAAAAAAAGAAAAGGATAAGAAAGACAGCAAAGAGGAAAAGAGAAAAGAAAGAAAGAAAAAAAAAGAAAGAATGAAGAAGACAGAGGAGAGGGTGGAGCGGAGGAGACGAACAATGGAGCTTGAAGCGCTCGTTAGCAACGATAGGGCCGAATGGTTGAGGAAAAGGGAGAACGCCGACAGTAAGCCCTAGTTGTCTGATTTTCATTGTTTCTTTCCAAAACCCTAATACATTTCACTGGATCGGTGTACCTAGGTTATTGTTGAGGGAAGTTGGTGAGTCCTTGTGAAGAAGAAGACATGGGGTGCTGAGAGGAAAGAAAGATCAAGAAGAAGGTGGGAAGAAGAGGCCGAAAACTGAGGGGCATGACCTTTGACCCGACCCAACCCACCTGTACAGAACTGAAACCCAATTTTTTTCCATTTCAAACCATTTGATTCGTCTTTATTCAGATTTAGGTACTTGACTCACACATTCCATAATGCCTTATTATAGGAAAATTCCAATTAGAAGAGGACACTTGAAGACTCAATAAAGTTTTGGAAAGTCTACGATCACGTAAGTAACAATCTAGAGCAAATTTTCAAGTAATTGCTTGTAGGAGTCGGTTTGGATTTGTGGCCAAATAATTTAGTACCGTATTTAGGAATGGATAAAGTTAGTTCATGGAGGTGGAACTTCAATAATGTGTGTAGTTGTACTTTGATTGTCGTTATGGTTATATAGTTTCGTTGACATGAATGTGAAATTTCTGATAGGCGTTTGGGATGATATGTTTTTATGTTGAACTAATTGGTTATTACCTGATTTAACATGGTGACGTGTTGTTGTCATGGTTCTTTGTTAGGCATTGGGTGTGGGGCTTGGGTAGCCCATTGTTACCTTTGTGAGTTGGATCTTTATTAGGTGCTAGTTATCATAAGTTATGAAGCACATAGATGACAGTGTACCGTTTCGTAGACACCCACAAGGGGTTGAGGGTAATCATAGTATATTACTGTGGTAACACGTCAGAAGTGTTTAGTGGGACGAGCCATGGCCTTTTTACTGATCCAGCCGAGCAGCATAGTGACGGGTAGTTATTATTCCTAAGACAGGTAGTGAACCTAGCCTAGCGAGGCACAGTGGCAGGTAGTTACTAATCTTAGAAACAGTTAGATGTTGCCAAGCACCACTAGGTCTCTAACTAGCGACTATTCGAGCATAAAACTTAGGATTCCATGAATAGGGCTAAATTCGACAAGAGGGTTGCTGACTAAATATTGTTTATATACTCATTTGCGTTATTTCTATTTTTTAGGAGAAAAGTAGATCTAGGTCGGTGGCGGGGACGTGTGGAGTCGTGCAACTGCAGAAGGGGGCCCTTAGATTGAGTCCTCTTCTCCTATGTCGTTTTGGTTATGATTTTGACATTTTTTGAAAACCTGCGATATTTTGTAACCGTTTCTTTTTATGTGACTCAACGGATTCTCATTATGTGTTTTGTACTACCCCTTTTTTTAAATGTATATCAAGCAACTTTTAACTTTTAGTCCCCTATTCAAACAAGAAGTAACATTGAAAGGTTTTTTGTACTCTTGAGTACACGTGGTGACTCGTGATTCGGTATTTTCGAAGATCGATCGTTACAACCTCTTTTAAAAATGAACACTTCATTGATTTGAAAAGATACTTAATACAGTTGTTCTAATAAACAAGAGATAGATATTAGATTTCTTTTCAATTCAGGAACAAAAAATACATTTCTAATATAATGACTCTATCTTCGAAAAACAACCTTAAATTTCCTACTGATCTTGCTGAGACAACTTCTCTTTTTCCAACCCTGAGTGTTATCTCATCTTCTCCTAGTTTCCTGAAAAAAAAAAACAAATATGATTAGTAGCCACTGAATCTAGTATCCAGGTTGAGTGATCATACTCTACTAAACATATTTCTACAACTAGTAATCATATTTACCTTGTTGTGCCTTTTCGGCTTTCTTCTCTGCAAGGTATTTTGGGCAGTGACTTTTCTCCGTGCCCATTTTCATTGCAATGGAAACATTTTCCATTATCTGCATTTTGAACCTTGCGTTTGCAGTTAGTAGGAATCTTATTTTTCCCCTTACCCTTTTTATCATATGCATCCCAAACTTTTCGGTTTGCATTTGAGTCAGGGTTTATGGACATTCCTCAGTTAAAACAAGCCTCAAATCATCATTTAGAAGTATTGTGTTTAGTTTGATTTCCTTGTTGCATAATTGTCACCATTTAATTTCTCATAAGCAAGTAATTTTACTATCGAGCATGAGATGCTAAGATTTAAAACAAATTCTATTAGTGAATTGACTTAATCCTTTTTAATCCAATCAGGTTTAACAAATGTAATAATGTTCCTAAAAATTATTAATTTGCAACGATACTTTAGTGAGTTAGAGAAACTACTACCGAAGGGTGGTCAATCCGTCCTTCACTAAACCAAGACATTCTTATCTTAAACACTAATCCTAGAATAACTCTTATTTCTATAGTGTTTTAATTATCGTCACTTTGGTCAAGAATGTACCAACCCTTAGTAATTCTTGTAAGTGTCACTCGCCATTTTCAGACCTTAGAGATCGGCCCCAACAATGCTATCGAATGAATAAGCCAAAGTTGGGAATGGACCTAAGAAGTCCTATCCATTTATGGAGATTGCGTTGTTTCGACTCCCATGTTACGACCCTCCAAATGGGTAGTTGCTCTAGGACAACTTCCAGGCGAAACATGAGAATCTCATAGTGCAACCTAGTCATGGAGACCATAGGACATGTTGACTTCCTTCTCCCACTTACTATAAATACTTTCTCTATTCACCTTGTTATTGACTCATGCAAATACCCTCCAGGCCGCTCCCAGGGCAACATGAGGTCGAGCATGAATCTCACGGTGTGAATTTTTCAGACAGCTAAAAAGAAAACGATGTATCTCATATGCCTTTTTCCTCCCACTAAGTATTGTAGACGGTCGGGTATACTCATTACTTAGGTATATTCCGGCTAATTAAATATAACCTAAGTCTAGGTGATTTTTTTAAGTATAACATTTATACTGGATTTTTACCTATGATGTCTGGGTGATTTTTTTTTTTTAAAAAAATCCTTACATCATTCACGCATGCTCATAAAACTGGGCTAATTAAGCTCAAGTATTGGCCCAATCTTCAAGTAGTAGGTGTTCCGTAAACCGTCAACTGAAGTACCTCCAGCCTTAGACAAGATCATGTCAGGTGAGCTTTCTTGTAACTGCAGTTTTACAAGATATCGACCTATTTTAACTATTAAAATTGATCACGCTTGGTTGTTAACCATAAGTGAGCATGCTTTTCTCTTTGTTATATATTTTAACGTCTGTCTCGTTTTATGACGTTGAAATAACCTATAACATGCATCTAACATGCTTCATATAACTATTATATAATCATCTATTCCATGCAATAATATAACAATTTATATCTATCACTCATGGAACCCTATAACTTGCATACTATACATTATAATACTTATAACATACTTGTAATGCATGAAACATGCTTAGCCTATGGTAGGATTTTAAATCTATATGATATAATTTATGCATATACATTTTTTATTTAACTAAAACATACATTCACAATGCATAATTAATTAAACGCACTAAAGTGGATTGGTTTTGACATTTTAAAACAAACAATTAACTAAATTATTACATTAATAATTAAAAATAACTTGAACCGCTCCTGAGTATCACAAACCGGTTGAACCAACCCTTAAAAACATTGAACCAGACCCCAACCAGCAGAAAAACACTCAAACAACCTCTTCTAACTTGTTCTTTTGTTCAGCTTGCTTTTGTTTCCATTATCAATCAATTACAACCTAAAATGAACTTTAATGAGCATAAAAATTACAGACTTTTCTCCACTCATTAAAGCTCATACACATTAGCCCAAATACAATAATTATATCAAATGGAAGCATAAAAAAATTTTCAAAACCATACCCATTCACTTAGGCAACCACAAAATTTCATTCATGAAATGGTACCCACCATGCTCAAATTAATGTAAATAAAGTGCCTGCTCTGATACCAATTGATGATTTTGTTATAACACATGCGGAAGCAATTTGAATCTTAGGCATTCTAAGTACATCAATTATAGTAAATTAGCTAGCATGTTCATAAAAATTAAAACTCAAGGAGTTTGAGTACTAACCTTTTGTAGTTCAAATTCTTTTTTCCTCACAAACTGGTTTCGAACCACCACTAGTGTCTTCCCTATTATTCTCCGGCCTTAGAATGAGATTGTGGAATCCAGTGAGTGACTGAACTTGGAAGGGATTTAGTATATCTGAAGAGAGAGTTTGTGAGGGTTTCTCAAGGTTTTTCCAAGATGACTTTCCATGTTCCTTAATCACTCTATTTGTAGAGTCATATTTGCATGTTCATGAAAATTTGAGATTACCAAATTTTGACACTTAAAATTCCACTCAAATGCGTGGGATAATGTGGCAAGCATGCAAGTTTGAGTTAACCAAATTTTGACACTCAAAATTCCACTAACTCAAACATGGATTTTTCCATTAAGTGAAGTAACCTTTTGAATTTCTACATTTTAATTCAACAATTAATTTAAATAATTAATTTCAAATTAAAGTAATATTAAATGATTAATTAAAAATAATTTAATTAATATTTAACATTAATTCAAATGTCAATCCCTATCAATTCCGATACATATTGATTAAAATATTTAAATCTTATTTAAATATCTCTGATTCTCTCTTTTTGTTTAATTCGTAAATAAAACAAAAATGTGATTAAATATATCGTATATATTTAGCGCATATTCCCTAATTTGAATTCGAACACTTCGAACTCACTCGTCACACTGTTCTATGGTTTAGTTTGATATGAGCTAGCAGGGGAACTTAATGAATCTATAGATCATGGGCTCCAACGATCCAAGATTAACCATCTAAACTCATTAACCTTGTTAACCAACATTCGTTAACTACTAGGATACTCTACTATAGCCTAGTAGTTGCCCTGTCCTCGCTATAGATATGTTTCTGTCCATTTGATATAACCATGATTAGTAAGTCGATCCTTCACAAGTTGTTCGTAATTAGAGCTTGATCAATTTACTGTTTTACCTCGAAAGTTACTTCTGGTGCCTTATGTTCCATTGATCCTCTAATGAACAATTGGTTTGTGGTCCAACCAATAAACTGAATCCCTCTCAAACCAATGAGAGGGTGGGGCCCCATGTTCAAGACTTGAAGTCCGTACTTAAGGGAACAACCTCTTTACTATCCCTAAAAGTGGGTAGGAGTGAATTCCATCTCGCGCCCTATGTCCCCAACTATTCACCCAGTCTTACCTCTAAAATGGGAGGCTTAGTGAGTCGGCGAACTCGAGCCACTCTCACCCATGCCACCCATGCAAATCTAAAGACAATTTTGAATAAACAGGAGTTCATGATTAGCTCTGGATTAAGATCGAGTTGCCTAGGTCATCGAATGAAAAAAAAATCAGTCTCAACAGTAGACGACATTATAAAGTGACTGATTTTCTTCATGGTCCGATCTTATGCAATACTCATTGCATAGGATGCCCCCACTCACATGTCTCTACATGTACAATTTAGTAACCACATTGTTTATATCATATACAAAAGTAGGCCGCATCCATAGTGTCCTCAGGATAAAGTACCCTTATCCCTATACTATAAATTATTTTGACTATATACTTGAACTTGAAACACTCTTCTACATATAGTTCAAATAATCATACGATAGTTAGAGTGTTCTTAGTTTATTGAATTTAGATTAATAATCGTAAAATTCACTTTATTTCAAAACAATTTTTATTGAATAAACATCAATAATAACTTTATTGAAAATAGAATATGTTTTTGTTTACAAACTATGAGTTTTAGGACATAAAACCCAACAATCACAAATCTCATCATAGGGGCATTTAGGAAGTTTTTTTACATCATGCATAACATACTCATCCATATTGCACAACTCATGCATATTCTCTTTCTAGCTTATTTTATAATAACATGTATACCACACATACTCATCCAAAAATACCTTTCTAAAGTCCTTAACGTATATTATGACCACACCCGACCTCTATGTGCAGACAAACAAGGAGGTGACATGTGATTGGTGCCTATATGTCCATGTGAGGACCAAAAAAGACAAGTGTCATGATGCGACCGAGGAAGAGTAGGTATGAAAGAAAAGCTGAGGCATAAGCTAGGTTAGATGCAATAGGTAGTCAAGTGTTAAAGACAAGCTTAAAGAGGGTTTAGAGGGGCCTTATGTCATAACCTCATAAGTCGATGTTCTAGTGGGAGTTTGGCATGCAGCTCGGTAATTAAGTACATACAAAAAATGAAAGCTCTCCAAATTTGGTATCGATTGAACACCAATTAGAC